CGATTTATATTGAACACAAACACTTCCGAATTATGAATAAGTGTGAATATTTCTGTAATCACTGGTTTGGTCTCGGCTCTTTAGACCCGAGATGACACATAATAATAATAATAATGCATTAGACTCGTGAAGCACTTTTCTAGACACTCAGACTCACTTAACTGTTATTATAAATTCACTTAATACCACTATTGTAAGCTACTTATTGTGTTATTGCAGCTGTCCTGGGGATTCAAGGTTGCCAATCTGTGACATCAGCTCTTCCAACCACCACCCACACGCACACACAACATTCACACTAGGCAATGTGGCTGAAGTGTCTTGCCTACAGACACATAAACACGTTTGTTAGTTTTCCCAGGAGTCTCCCATCCAAATGAAGAAGAACAATACATATGTACGTCATATGAAAGTCAAGTTCTAGTCAAAACAATAGAAGAGAGAACAACAGACTGTTAACGTCACATATGAACAGTTCTTCAGATAAACTATAACATAAACAACAGAACAGAACAAGTTTAACAAACTCTCCATCTCACTCCAAATCACTGAATCCATTCAATTCTTCATCCTCGGTGTCACTTCTGAGCAGCTCCACGACCTCCGGAGGTAAACAGAGCGCCGCTTCCTCTTCTGTGTCGCTGTCGTCAGACTCAGCATCAGTTCCAGTTAGAATTATTCGGGTCTTTCTGAATCCCGACAGGATGGTTTCTGTGTCTCTGAAGTCCAGACTTTGTCCATCCATCCAGTGACTTCAGGAAAGTTTCATGGTGCATCCTCCCAGTGTCACAAGTTTCTCTCTCACTCCAAACTTTCTCTCTGCTGCTCGATTATCGTTTTTGGCTGCAGATTTCTCTACTTGCAGTTTGTAATCTGCAACATCTGATTTTCTTTCTGGGGGCATTTGTGTTCAGTCTTCTCAGTGTCTTTATAAGTTTGTTTAAATGTTAAATTGTTCAGTGGTGCAGAAGTAACGGTGCGATCGACTGACATGATACAGACAGGACAGAGGCTCTTTCTGCAGGAGACATGTGCAGTAGAGCCAAGTGACAGTGGTACAGGAGGAACAGGAGCAGCAGATACTCACACACAAGACTAAGACCTCTCCACACTTCACTGTGAACATTTTAATATATAAGTCGCAGGAAACACTCAAACCATGAAAAAATGTGAGACTTCAGAAGTCAGAGCGTTGATAAGATGCAGGGAAGGATTTTATTTGAGTTTGTATATTTATAAGCTCTTGTACTGATTTAGTATTATGTCTTGTCCTGCTCCTTTTTTGTTAAAATGAAGCAAAATCTACATCAGCATCAGTGTACGAATTCAAACTGTCTTCTCAATAAATATATTTGAAACTAGATCAGGCTTTGAGAAGAAGGTTTGGCTGCATGAGTCGTCTCCATGAAAGATCAACACAGTGGCTTTTATCTTCTGCTGCACATGTACTACTTTTCTTTGAGTCACACTGACCTAATTTTGTCTCATTTATAACCAAAACTGTCATTTGAGCTCTGAATAGTGAACATGGGCTACTAGGATCGGGACAAGATGTTGTGAGAGAAATTGTCATAAGAAGAAGAAGAAGAGGCACAAGAGGCACACATGAGGAAAATGAGTTTTTGTCCTTCATGTTTTTACATTTGCCTTGGACAAAAAGGGGCTTACTTTGCTGAATACGTCCTCTGGAGAAGCTGCAATTCAAAAAAGTAGTGCTACAGTGACAGCAAAACTATATTATGATGATTCTGTCATTGTGAGCTTGCTTCAGAAAAATAAAAACCAACATGAGGCCAATTGTTGATGACTTCGTGAAATGGTCAGAGAGTCTTGGCTGCACCTAAATGTATCCAAAACGAAGGATATGATCATTGTCTTTCGAAAGCGACGTCACATATATAAAGTGACAGTCAGTTGAGTGTGTGGACTCTTATAAGTATCTTGGAACATTCATTGATTCAAAATTGAGTTTTGACAATAATTGCATGCTCTGTGTACCGTATTTTCCGCAAAATAGGGCACGCTCATAAGCCTCCAACCCCATCAAAAAACTACTGTGCACCCGGAATCCACACCACCCTATGGGCGAGTTTGAGCTGACATCATTGTTATTAAAAGCCCGCGTTGCATGCTGGGAAATATTTTGGTCGGAGGCAAGAAACACGGTAGCGGTCAAACACAGTGCGTAACCTCGTGTATTTATCCCTGATAATGATAAATTCCTGCTGCATTATCGGATGCACAAATAGAAGCACGGAAGAAGGAAAATGTCTTTTTCGTATTCTGAGTGAAAAGAACCGCTAACGGTGAATTAAACGACTTTCAAACGTAGAAGATCCTAACAAACCGTGGACTCAACGTTCAACAACACATTGAGACTCTTGGAGGTGTGGGAAATTAAGTGTTGGTCATGTTAATTTACTCAATATTATGGACTTTGGAATGACAACAGGGTGGAAAACACGTATGACTATCTATAGGTCTATATAACATGTTTTTTTCTGTACTTAGAGTGCCATAAAGAACATGTTTTTCTGGACTTTGAGATGCCACGAAGCAGAAAAACTGACATATGTGGACCCCGTGGCATGTTCCCACCCATGATAAGGTGCACTGGGTCAGCAGTATTGTTCATTTTCTTGCTGTATATGCTAAATCAACAAGTTAATGTTTTGTCAAGATGTAGTATAAAGCTACCCCTGATTTTGAGTTGGTCAGAGACGTCGTCCGGGGTGGCAGTTGTACTTGGTAATCAACTTGAATCTCTCTCAATGGAAATGCTGAAATAAAGTGGCCTGTTTTCTCGGATTCTCCATCTCCTGTGCTTCTTTTTAGGACACGCATTGAACCTTCCGAAAAACCCACAGAGGTTTTCATCTTTTCTGCTGTGAATGGCCCAGGAGTTTCCATCAAGTCATTGTGGATATCGCCGAAGTGAATATTTGTCCAGGTAGTTGGCAATTCTGACCAGAAATTTGGTTTGGTCCACCTTTTGTCGGGGTTGAAAAGGGTGATTTGTCGTCCGTCGATGCTTATGACCAATTTCTGGTCAAATGGTCTTGGGTCCTCTGCCGTTAGAGTGGATAAATAACCGGGATCAATACCCTTTACGTGCTTTCTCACTCTGTCCGTCATGTTGAATTAGTGTTTCTTGCTGCCGACCAAAATAATTCCCAGCATGCAACGCGCGCTTTTGTCAACAATGAAACTCGCCTATACACAAATCCACTTGTGTCCCAGCACGACTTCAGTAAACTACAAAGCCGCACCACGGAGCAGACAGCGACCGCACAGCGAAAAACACCCACAGACACACTCATCACTCCACGCCGACGAGGAACGGAACGGAGGAACGAACCGAAAAAAGCGAGTGCAATGTGCCACTTCTAGACACGACTGAACAACTGAGTCACTGCGAACACGCCGACAATCCAGACAGCACCTCCCTACACGCCACAACTGAACAAAGCCCAGAGTCACCGTGAACGAACAAACAAACAAAACCACTCACCCATCACACTGTTGTGATTCCTTTATAGTCCGGTGCAGTTTATTTGTGAAAAAAGTTTGAAAATAGACCATTTAATGACACTGCATCATATAATCCAGAGCGCCAAATAGTGCGGAAAATCTGGTAAAAGAAGCCACCAGAGGAAATTGTCCTTTTACCATGTACTACTGACACTGTTCTATAAAATGTTTAGAGAATCAGTTTTAATTTTTTCACTGGTCTCATGGTTTGGCAGCGAAAATGGGCGAGTGAGGTGATTGTCCGTCCTCAGAGCCGCCTGGACTCTCTGTACTCAAGACACTTACAGGCAATGTCCCAGATTATTTTAAAAAGACGTGCAGCATTTACTAAACTCAAGAGTCTCAGCTGCTTCCCTTTGGTCAGAGGCTTTTAGAACCAAGATCTAGAATGAATCGTTTTAAAAGGAGTTTTGTTCCAGCTGCTGTCGTACTTATGAATAAATTGTAATCTATTTATCTATTAATTTTAGTACGTTGTCTTGGAAAAATTGTGTGTTTTTTATATACTTAATATTTATTGGGTTTTTAGCCAAGCGTGATGGATGAATTTAACTAATTGTTTATGGAACAAACCTACTCTGCACTGGAGCACTTCAACACTTTATTCTGTAATAGTGTTTTTATCCGTGTTTATTGTGCATAATGTGGATGAATGAAATGTGAAATGTGGAACCAGCCGCTCAAATCTGCAAAACGAATTTATCTACGGGTACGAATAAATCAACCTGACCTATTAAATAAAGCAAAAACAGTGAAATGGCACAATTTATTTATTAAAAATTGTATCAAAATCTCATTTTATCTCAATCTCGTGGACCAAATCTAGTGACATGTCTCATCTAGAAATTGTGTCATGCGTTCATGCACGTCCAATAAAAGCTGTGAATTGGGTCCAAAGGCAAAAATTGACATGTCAAACAAGTGTGAAAAATGGCTTGACCCGAAATGTCACATTGTGGTGTCATTAAAATAAAAATTTGGAAGCTTCAAAGAACGCCAGTGTGAATCTCTTTTTTCTTTGGCACAATTTTATTAAAGAAGGAAACAGAGCTGCTGCACGTGAACTCGGCATCAGTGAGTCGATGTTGAGACGTTGGCGACGGCAGCGTGACGAACTGACTCGACGCAAAAAGACGACAAAAGCTTCAGAGGGGATAAAAGCAGACGGCTCGAACTTGAAAACGTTCTTAGAGACGTGGACACCTGCGGTTTATATTCAGTTGCAGCCTACAGATGTACAGGTTTAAAATTTAGTTGATGCAGCTTCTATTCAGGCACGTTCAATAGTCCGGAAAATCTCTTTTTGCCTCGTTCTCGTGGACCAAATCTTGTTACGTTTCGTCTTGTAGAAACTGTGTCTCACCCCATCCCCATCGGTCACAATATCAACTTTATTTCAATACACTTCAGTCCAAACTCCCATCTCCCATGTTCTTAATTATATTTGTTAACCTGTATTTCTCTTCCAGGTGGAGAAGACTTTGGGGATTGAAGCCGCGCGCTCCACCATCATCAATGAGATCCAGTACACGATGGTGAATCACGGGATGAGCATCGACCGCAGACACGTGATGCTGCTCGCCGACCTCATGTCCTACAAGGTACAATATACAAAACGTGGCTAGTGGGGTAAAGTGTATTTACCTTGTTGACGTGTTTCGGCTGCTGCATCTTCAGAACTGTCCCCGGTGTTGGTGGTGACGTGTCGTATATCAGCTGTTGTTACTTCCTGTAGCGTGGTCAGCCTGACGGACCTGCAGGTCGCTCAGACTGACCACGCCTCCCGTCGCCCGGTGTCTCTGGAGGAGGGTGTCCCAGGTGTGTGAAAGGAGGAACGCTCCGTCGTCACGGTTAATGCTGTCCGTGCCTCGTTTCCTGATTTCAATGGCCTCCTTGATCCAGCGTTGATCCTTGATCCATTGAAATCAGGAAACGAGGCACGGACAGCATTAACACCTGGAACACCCTTCTCCAGAGACACCGGGCGACGGGAGGCGTGGTCAGTCTGAGCGACCTGCAGGTCCATCAGGTCTGACCACGCCTACAGGAAGAAACAACATCTGATATACGACACGTCACCACCAACACCGGGGACACTTCTGAAGATGCAGCAGCCGAAACATGTCAACAAGGTAAACACACTTTACTGCAATGTCTTTAAAAAGAACCTAAGAAGTTAAAGTATATAAGAAGACAAAATGAACATCATTGGCTTGAAATATGTGCATGTTTAACACATTAGAATGAGCCATCAGTCCTTTATTCATGCTAAGATCCTTAAAGCCACACACTAAATATTAAATATTAGCTCTATCAAGGTAGATTCTTGTTGTGGCAAAAATTATATATCTCTTGAAGATAAATAATGAATCCATTTGCGAAGCCCGATGAGTTTTTGGAATATAGACCAAGGTTTATTCTTGTTACAGCAGATATGGACAGGGCCTAGGCCTGTTTCGGCCAAAGCCCAACAGCCTCTCACCCCTGTCTCCTCCCGTCTCTTCCCATCTCCCTCTCCAGAGCATTTGAGCTCTGAGTATTTATACAGAAATACAAGATACATACATATCAAAGCAGAGTGACTTTGGTTTCAGAGGGTGGTACTAAAATAACATACAGTTGAGGACAACAAAAGGCTTCCTGAAGGCGGAGACAGTTGTGCCTGATGAACCTTTACACATGTTAATGACTGGTCTGGGTTTCAGGTAGAAATCACATTCATTTACACAAAGATAGATTGAAAGAAATCTTTTCACAATCTAAATTTCTATCACATTCTCAAAAAACTTGCAATAAAAAGTAAATTTTTCATTGATGCAAGGTAATTTGGGCCAGTTCTCCTGGAAGCCTGAGGGCCAAGAAAAAATTGTCTTAGGGCCGCATTTGGCCCACGGGCCATAGTTTGGACATGCCTGGTCTATATTAAGCAAAATTGACTCCAAGTAATTTCCCTTGTGGATCAATAAAGTTTGTCTAAGTCTAAGTCCGTATTTGAATAGTCCTAAAATCACTACTCCAGTATTATCTCGTATCTCGTAGCTGATACAGAATCCCTCACCTCTTCATGTGTAATTGAAGTAAACCACAGAATCTTTGTCGTTTGTGCAGGGGGAGATTTTGGGCATCACCAGATTCGGTTTGGCCAAAATGAAGGAGAGCGTGCTCATGCTGGCGTCCTTTGAGAAAACCGCGGATCACCTTTTCGACGCCGCCTACTTCGGCCAAAAGGACTCAGTCTGTGGTAAATACACTTTTACTTTCTCATTATTATCACTGTTTCTGTAATCATGTATCAAATGGAATAAATTAAATGCTCTCTACTTGATTTTTACAGTCTTAAAACATGAAAAACAGAACTGGTTCATTTAAAACAGTTTGCAGTGGTCCAAAGTTATTCCTCACTTACCTTGTGCATTCAGAGCCTTCGATTTATTCACCGTGATGAGTTTTTAAGTGTTTCCCAAACATTTTTTCTGGTGACCCATATTTTAAAAGTCACAAACCTTCGTGACCCAAGTCAATAGACATTTATTCATAAATAAAAAAAATAAATTTGTGACCATTGTTGAACATTAATGAGGATATTTTATTGTTGACTGAGTGATCGTGTCTCTCTGAACAATTAGTTTTACTCAAGTTTTAAACAATGAAAAACAGTGATCATTGTTTCCCACAGAAAACTGGTTTGTGCTGCCGAAAAAGTGAGGAGTGGAGATTTAAAAAAAAAATTCTTGCGACCCACCTGAGGTCTTCCTAGTCTTTGGGGAAATAATGGTTTTTCGCAACTTTTCAGAGGCCAAAGCAACAACTGCGCACTTGCTGCATTCCAGACTGGTTGGAATGTTTGTTTGTTTTTATTTGGTCAATTTTTTACTTATTACAGTCTACAAACATTATATTCAGTCTGATGCCCGTAAAATTCAATATGTGGAACAATCAAAACAAATAGTAAGTCATAAGTCAGGGGTGGGAAAACTTTTTGACTCATGGGCCACAAAGGATTCTAAAATTTGACGGAAGGGCCGGACCAGGAGAAGATGGATGGAGTGTTTTGGTAATCCACCTCATAAGAGAAAAAAATAACATGAGATACGTAGAAATTGAAATATCCCACAACTGAAAGTCATTACAAAAACATTATAACAAAATATGTGTCCCACGGTATTAACTATTTATTGAATTAACTTTTAAAACACTGAAAATTATCATTATTATTATTATTATTCAATTCTGGAGGGCCATATTAAAAAGATTAAAGGGCCACATATGTACGTAGTTTGCCCACCTGTCATAAGTGATTGACCAGGTGTAGGCAGAAGCTAAAGCTTACTGGGCCGATCCTCACCTCCAACTACAGCACGTTAATAGACATTCACCTACAAAATTAATACGACCTTAATACAACATTTTACGACGTCATAATAATTTAAAAAATCAACAGTTATTCTAATTAGAACAAAATTCTCTTTACTGTTGTTATTCTTTCAAATATTTATCCATTACTTTTCTCTTAAAAGTTATTTTGAATAACTCATTGTGGCAACTGTTCCATAATTTAACTTCTTTGCTTGATAAACAGTGTTCCTCATGTGTCCTTAGGGATGGGCATGATTAATCGATTAATCGATAATTGATCATTAAGAATTTCATCGATTACGTTAATTTAAATTGACAAACCGAATGCAGGTTGCTGTGCGTAGCGTTGAGTGACCAAACAGGTGTGTACATGTGTCTCTGCATCAGAAGGAGCGAGACACAAACAGTGGGTCAGTCTGTAACGAACCGAAGCACAAATGTGTATTTAACGATGATTTGTACAAGAAATTCCACGCTTTCCATTGCGTTCGGGACAAGTGTGAGTCCATGTGCACAGTGAACAAAGCAGCACATATGTTTCAGTGTCCAGTGGGAAAAAGTTTTACCAGGTGAGAGTCGCTCAATGTCGATGACGAGTCCCCACCTCCCTCCCCCCGTACGGTGTCCTGGTTTTGACAAACGCAAATATGTTCACACTAACCTGTATTCACCTGAGTCATGTCTTTTAATCCGACAGAAACTGACTGCATCAGCGACACAAGAGCTGTAGTTTTATCTTCGTTGAGTTTATGCAAATTAGTGATGCGGTTTTAAGTTTTGTTTCTGTGAGAGTTGAACAAAACTGAATTAAACACATTATAATGTCAAACGGGCTGATGTGGCTCTAGAGTCGTTACGGTTTATATGTCGTAAAGTTGAATTTATTTATGCAGATTAGTAGTGCAGATAGTAATAATACTGATAATCATTTTAATATAAAAACGTTAATGATTAATCGATAATCGATCGTTAATTCTTCCGACGATCGATTAAGAAAATTTCATCGAATGCCCATCCCTATGTGTCCTGTTGAACATACATGTACACCTTAGATTAAATTTACTATAAAACGCTTAAAACTCTTCACAATTTATCTGTCCTGCATCTTCGTTTTAGACTTTTAGATCAATTTGTTGCCTGACCAGCCGTTCCGTCTACATTCTGTTTGAATCCAGAAGGTTTTGAATCGGACCAAAGAGCGTGAAAAACCAAAAATTTTACACGATCCAACCACAGCTGCTATTTTATATAATGTGTTTCTCAAATGCGGAAAACATCTCCTCTCCAAAACTCTTGGAACATTCAGAACAAATTATATATAACTTCTTTTACATGGAATAAGAAAAGTTTGGGGCTTTGACTGTTGATTCTGTAAAAATCCACGCTGTTTCTGAATCCTTTAGGTTGTTTTTTTATTCTTTTTTTACTTGTAAGCAGGAATGTTTATTTTAGATGTGAACGGAGCACGCGTCTCTCTGATTTGTTAATCCGCTTGTCAAAAACGCCTTCTGAAATCAGCTCAAGATCCAATTATCTTTGTAGTTTTGTCAAATCTTGTGGTTTTGGACAAATAAACACAATCTCTGTATCATTCGTTCATTCGTTTTTCAATATAAAACCAAAAATAAGAAAATGAAAAAAACAACTGTGTTCTTCATTATTTGTCTCCAAAACCAAAATGAAAAAACAGATAACGATTTGTTTTTTCAGTTTATGATTTTGTGTTTAAATGAAAAATGGAAAAAACGGATAACAACCATTTCCCATTTCCGTGACTTAAACTGCGATGTTGGACTTTTGCACCGCATACGGACTGAACCAGGACTGATCCAGGTCCGGGACCAGACCGGTACAAGACCAGGACCAGACCGGAGGCTCAGAGCCCACGGCAGGGTCGGAGCTCGAAGCTGAGGCTCGGACCCCACGAAGGATCGGAGTCGAAGCTCGGAGTCGAAGCTCGGAGTCGAAGCTCGGAGTCGAAGCTCGGAGTCGAAGCTCGGAGTCGAAGCTCGGAAGCTCGGAGTCAAAGCTCGGAGTCAAAGCTCGGAGTCAAAGCTCGGAGTCGAAGCTCGGAGTCAAAGCTCGGAGTCAAAGCTCGGAGTCAAAGCTCGGAGTCTGCTCTGGTTCCGGTCTGGTCCCGGACCTGGATCAGTCCTGGTTCAGTCCGTCATCGCAGTCACGGAAGTCACGTAAATGGGAAACGGCCGTTATCCGTTTTTTCCATTTTTCATTTAAACACAAAATCGAAAACTGAAAAAACTAATTGTTATCTGTTTTGTCATTTTGGTTTTGGAGACAGATAATGAAGAAAAGAGTTTTTTTTTTTTTTCGTTTTGTTATTTTTGCTTTTATATTGAAAAACAAATGAACAAATAATACACGGATTAAACACATTTGTAGTTTTTTGCATTTGTCATTTGATCCACGCACTTGGTATTCACAGCTTTTGCACTTCTTCTAGTCTTATTTTAGTTCCAATTTAGTGTATGCAGTTTTGTAGAAGTGAATACAGCCTTAAACTAGAGCCAAAAATGTTGTACATGTGTAAGACGACAAGGAACTTTTCGTTTTCCAATATTGTACCATTAAGTTTTAATTTTTAGAATCTGTCCGGGACATTCTGTGATTCATGAACTGACAGAAATGTGCCCAATTTGTTGCTGAAATATTTTTATTACAATGAAACCGATGCTTTTTCTGACATTTTTATATCTCGGAACACCTGTATAAAGAAGCCACACACAGGGCCATACTCCAGTGTTCCCCCCTAAGGCCAAGCTGATTGTTGAAAGGGCATCAGGTGTAAATTATTTAGTTGTTTACTGTCTTTTAAAGGTTTTATATTATGCAAAATTTACTCTTGAGCTTTAAGACATGTTATAATGTTGTTGTCTCATCAAAAACAAACCTGGAGTTGTGTTTTGTTTCATTCGCACATGTTTGAGGTACATTTGATTATATCCACATTTCCAAAGTTCTGAATGCTCTGTTCCACCTTGTGATGTCATGAAGCGGTAGTTTTGAAGTTAACAGCTACGTTTTACCTTTTGTTCAGTAGAGATTTGCAATTCCAGGCCTGAAATTATCCAAATGAATCTAGTGTAGGTGTATTTAGTTTAAAAACTTCAGTTTGAGAAGAGCTCCACACTCATATGATCAAATAGAAATGATAAAGCTAAAGATAAAGTTTATTTTGGGATATTTTTTTAAATATAAATAAGTATATATATATATTTTTTAGAACAGCTGGATATATAATTTATTTTGGATACATTGATGTTGTTGTATACCTTATTTCATCTTCAAAGTATATTTTATGTTTTATACATTGCAAAACTGCTTTAAGGTATTATTTTCAATTTGAACGTTTTGCGTAAATTGTCAATAACAAAATGTTGTTGTTTTTGTTTGTTTGTTTTTTTGAGAGAGAGGGGAATACTGAATCATCGTGTAACTAAAAAAATTGTCCTTTGAATAATCGTGATTTTAACATTTACCAAAATAATCGTGATAATGATTTTTTCCATTATCAAGCAGCTCTAGCTCCAGCTCTGTTTGTGATGAAGAAACAACATTATAACACAGATCATAAAATAACGTAATAGTAAATTTAAAAAAAAAAGATTTTATCTCTTTAAAATCCATGCCAAACATACCCTAATACCTGCAGGTCTCTATTAAAACTGTCTGTTGTATGTCGCCCTTTTAAGCTGAAGCTGTGCATAAAAAATAAGTTTATTGTTGAAAGAGGTGAATGAAAGTGTGACACGTGTTCGAGGACTGTAGACGTGTGGAAGTGTCATGTGCTCTCTGTTCATTATAAATGGCACTTACAGGAGCTGGAGGTGGAACATTACATTTCATTTAAACCTACAGACACCGAAG